GTCAAAAGGAAAGTAGGGAAAAAAGAAAAACAGAGATAACTTAGGGTGTGAATGGGAGAACGTTGCGGTGCGCATACGTAGGTGAATGTGTGTGATATGTATGAAATAATGTACTAAATTTGGACTTCGACGAGAATTAAATTACGATGTGATGCTTTATCGATTTAACCGCGGGAAAGTGACCTTTATCCAAAATATAAAATACACGTGGAGCGTTTTTTCTGGCTGCGACATGTAAAATTTCACTTAATGTTACGTTGAATAGCGCATTGCGGGGGCGGGCATAGCCAAATCGTACGTGTCGGAAATTTCGAAATGCTTGTATGTACGTTCACTTGCAGAAACACTCGCGCGCAAAATCTAGCGGCGGCGGCGTGTATCCCGGACATCTGGAGGATGAGACCATCCGTAAAATGAAAATTCGCATCGAGACTCTGTTTCGTCTTTCGGGCCCCTAGGAACGAACACATAGATCCGAGATCGACATCTACAGTGGCGAATTGCGTTAGATGGTGTCGATTAACTCTTGACTGACTGGCAATCTAATCCTGATTAATAGCAACATTTCTTTTATGACAACATTTGAATAACGGAGACTAATAATAATCGTCAACATCGGAGCTGATCGACCATCTCGATACAATTCAGCCTAAACATACCTCACGTATACACGCATATTAAATACATAATATAACATCTCTTTTTCGACGTCATGTTGAACGATTCACGCTCCTCTCTCTCTCTTTCTCGGCTTTCCGACATAATCCGTCCCCGAACGATACAAATGTAGGACCGTGTATTACGCATATTATCGGATCTAAGTTAGACGTACGATCGAGTATAACAGTGAATATGCGAATTAGGAGTAGAATAATTTTCTAGACGGTAGAAAAATGCTGTGTGCGCGCGCGCGTGCAAGGGGGGGGAGGGTAAGGAAATGAAGGAGAGGAAAGAAGGATATGTCTCTTCCTCTCTCTCCCGGGATTATTTGCATCACCCCCGGAGCCCTGCTATCTGCAAGCGTATTAATGCAAGCAACGGTTCTTGCCTCAGGTACACAATAGACAAATACCCATGATGATACCGGAAAACGTGTACACTTCACGGAGTCAAAACGGCGATGTAGGAACATAATTTGCCAGCGTTGCGGCGAGAAGCGCTGTAACGCCGAGGAATATGGATATATTATTATCTTAAATGGTTTTACGTGTATTAAAGCGATTGTAAATATATATATTAGATACACCTTATAATAAACATAATTTAACATACGCTGATGTTTCAACTTCAATTTTTCCATCCTAACACCACTGGTGGAAAAGCTAAAAAGTAATTTCCGAATTTTAATAGGTTTTTAATTTGATAAAATGACATAGTCATTTTTTAAATAAAATTTATCGAACGTTATATCAATAGTAACTTTACTGGATTTTAATTGTTGCTCACATCGAGATAAAAAGGAACTTTGTAGATTAAATAAACATGATGAATGTTCCATATCTCAATTTCGAAACTCGAGTTCCATATCTTTATGATGGTTTTCTCAGATTTATGAATATCATTATATCATAATTCTTACATATTTAAATCTTTGCTCAACTTTGGTGTAATTACGGTCTTTTTTATAGACCAATATAAATTACAAGACTTTATAATCTGTAACATAACATTATAATTCAAGCTATAATTGAAATTAATAATTTTTTCTTGATATTATACTGTTTTGTATAATATTGGAATTTTAATAAATTTCCTTATATTTTTATTAATTCTTCTAATAAATTGCTATTACGCCTAATCGGTACTTTTTATTACATTTGCTACATCATTATTCATCACGAATCTCAATATAAATTTCTATTATTATTATTATTATTAAAGTATATGGAAAGTAAGCTAAAGCCAATAAATGATATCTTCTTTAAAAAAAGGTTCATGTTAAAAGATATAAGAGATTCCAAATATAAATACACATTGAAAAAACATTTTTTAATTGCAGCCATAGTCCAGATATAAGGCGAGAGACATTCTATTCTTTGTCCTTTTAATTATTTTATTTACTTTACCGATATCTACGTAATTAGTAGATAAAATGACCATTACATTTAAAAACTTTCTGTCATTTTTGTTAATGGAATATAAATTTTTTATTGATAGCCCTCTTTTTCTTCTCTTGAATATTTGATTGTGCAGTCGTTCCATTTTTGCGCGTAGAAAGTACAACGCAAAGTGATTAAAAGGAACTAGAGTTAGTCACTAGTGTTTCCATCTCCGCGAAAGATGGTGGAGACCACGCAAAAGTGTTGTTGCGAGACAAACACAACGAGATTCTTCGCGGTGTCGTGATCGAGTCGGGGAATCCTGGCGCCGATTCCAATGTGCCTTGACTCAATCCAATCTTTTTCTCCTCACGCCTGTAATTTCCAATTTGATCCTATCTCGAGTCGATCCGCGATCGTCCCTCGATCCGATAACTGTTCCATGTGCGCGTTTTGAATCCCATCCGATCAGAGAGAGATAGCCGAACCGATCATGGCGGATTCGTTGCATAAGGATGGATATGAAAATCGTGAGTTGAAAGAAAAAAAAAAGAAAAATGTTTCCCCTTTGTTGTTCCATCGCGCGCGACTTTCTGGATCCTCATGTCTGGTCAGCTGCACCGTCCTGCACCTTCTGCACTCAGGAACGACGGTCGCGAGGTTCGCGGGAACGCGTTTGTCGCACGAGTAAACGCAACGCTGAAACAGGGAGCGATCGACAATCCGAATTTATTTATCGATCCTGGCGCGTTCGATCGACAGCGATTTCAAAAACACAGTCGTACTCCTCAAACGGGTCTTCACGTTATTCTTGACGAAGTTGCGTAACCGTTCCATGTGTTCCGTGATGGGATGCTGCCATTGTTCCCCGATGGGACGCTTGAGAGGAGAAGGGGGCCGCGGCTTCCCCCACCCCAAACATTTTTTCGTGCGCGTTCGAGTCTGCGCATCCGACCATATGATTGCTTCGGCAACTTTGTGTTTACATGCAGTACGTTCGTGATGTTTACGTTGTTATTGTTATTTCGTATGGAGTTCAGTCCGTTACCTGCGAACGCTACTTTGTATATTTTCTGTATTTAATATTTAGGTATTTGGAATTTCGAATTACAAATGATAGAAACGATACAAAAGTAGAAAAAAGTGTAAAAGATATGTGATGATAAGAGACATATTTTATCAATTTGTACATGCGTAATCTTTTTGATAAAGTCCAACGATGTATTTCATTTAACGTATTGACAATGAAAGTCTGATAGCTCTATTAAGCTGATTGTAATATATCCTTGCTTCACCTTGTGGGTTGTATTACCGTTTTAATAATTTTTTTATTATTTCTACATTTTTTATACATATATAAAATACAGAAATTAAAAAAAAGATATAGCTCACGCCTCAAGAAGATATTCTAATTCTTGAGAGCAACATTTCTCGATCTTGGTTTCTGTTTGAATACATTTTCATTTTAAGAAGCGATAATGTTACATATATAAATATATAATTCACTAGAATTTAAGTATATAAATATATATTGTGCATTTTTTGTTTTGCCAAAGTAGCTGGCTTGATGCGTGCTAGTGGTAATACAGGGTCAGATAGTGACATGAAGCTGGAGCCGTCCAGTCCTACAGAGAAGTACACTTTCTCCCGTTGTAGCAGTACAGGATCAGTTAACACGCCCTCTTCTTCCGCTCATAATACGGGTAAGTAGATATCTCTGTATCGGACATATTTTGTTTAATGATATGAACAGATAGTCGATAAATAACAACGTGATGTTGTTCACAGAGGATGAAGATAGTGATAATAAAAATTCCACCATAAGCTACAAGGAGCGCAGGAGGGAAGCTCATACGCAGGCCGAACAGAAGAGACGAGATGCTATCAAGAAAGGTTACGACTCCCTTCAGGACTTGGTGCCCGCTTGCCAGCACACGGACACCTCGGGTTATAAGATTTCCAAGGCTACTGTACTCCAGAAATCCATCGATTACATACAGTTTCTGTTGCAACAGAAGAAGAAGCAGGAGGAAGAGCGCAACGCGCTGAGAAAAGAAGTCGTCGCGTTACGCATTATGCAGGCGAATTACGAGCAGATCGTCAAAGCGCATCAGACGCAACCGGGGCATGCGGAAATGCGTATCTCGGACGAGATGAAGTTTCAAGTGGTAATGGACAAATATCTTTCTCCTTTGAAATTACCGCAATCGTTCGTTTATCTGGTCCATAATGTATATTTCGTCGCAGTTTCAGGCAATAATGGATCGCCTTTTTCAAACATTTAATAATGTTTCCGTGGCTAACTTTGCAGAGTTATCTGGCTGCGTGTTCAGTTGGCTCGAGGAACATTGTAAACCTCAGGTAAATAATTGTATTTTTAATGCATCTTCTATTTTACTTTATGAAATGTGTGAAAGTTGATAAATGTATTATTTTTTTAGACCTTACGCGAAGTAGTACTTTCGGTGCTACAACAGCTCAACGGTCAAATCAGCTAGTCAAATCTGTATCTTCAAAAAAGATACACAATGTTTCTCTGAAAAATTTGTTAAATCTTTATATTTATAAAGATAACATAACGTATTATATAATAGCTTGAAATAGTATCAAGTTTAAAGTAAAGAGTTTATAATTTACGCAGATTTGGATTAAAAATGTTGGTGATTTTCTTGTTGTTTTTTTCATTTTAGTGTAATATCTGACAATTAATTCATACAAAATTTGGAAAAAAATTTATATTATTTTTATATATATTTTTTAAGTTTTGCATTGATATATTTTGTTAATACAGATATCCTTCGATTTATATGAATAATTTGTATCTTGTATTTGTGCAGATGATTCTGAGATAATCTCTTTCAGGAGATAAGATCATTAGATACTAATAATAAGTTACCAGAAATGATGTGCGTTGCAAATATAATGCATGTGAGAAATATGAGAATAAGAGAGTTTATTTTATATACATCTAATAGAGTTTAAATATAATATAGGATTGTTGTGAGCGACTGTTGTCGAATATTTTTACCAGGTCTTTTATTGCACACACTTTGCGATAAATGAATGGCATATAGTGTATATATGTATATCTGGATGTATCTGGTTATGTATATAACAGATTTATAACATATATTTACAATGAATGAATATATACACTTTCGTGTATACACATGATAACATTATTTCTCCTCTTTCCCTTCCGTTAATGTCTTTATTTAAAAATGAAATGTTTGTATTTATTTTCTCTTTTCAATCATTCACTTGTGTTCTATTATGTTTTTATTTACTTGATTTTTATATTTAGTTTTTTTACTATTGCCGCTGGAAACAATGTCTTTTAATTTTTACACATCGAAATCTTTTGCTTTCCGCTTAAATCTTCTCAGATTCTGTGGGCATACTTTCCCCTTGTGTCATATCATTCAAAGGTATCGCGTCTCTAATTCTGTTAGGATTATCGAATTCTTGTCGAGGGTTTTGTTGACATCGCCTTTTGGATCTGCCTTCAGGCCGACAACATAAATCTCGAAAGATGCAAGCGTAGCAAACCAGCAGCGCGGTCATCATCATCAAACCGCCGATCGCAAGAACGATAACCAGAAAGATGGAAATTTTTTCATCCATCTCACTTCGCAAATCCAATGCCGTAGAGTGCTGTAACAGAAATTCATTTAATGCCGTTCAATTTGTAAAATAAATCCGAGCGATTTTAAATATGTACAAAAACAATATTATTTTTTTTTTTCGATCTGTAAGCTTGGAAACGTTGGAATGCTGGTGCTATCCAAAAGATTTGCAATGGAGATTATCGGAAAACGATATTACGCTTTCATATAGAATTACTGCGTAAAAAAAATTAATTAAAATTGCTTAATTAATCAGCGAGTTTAATCACTATATTGATCGTAACTCCTACGTTATTTTCTCATTATTTCCCCACTTTGTTTCTGTGTACCGATAATTATCTAGTGCAAACAAATATTTTACAACTCTGTCGCATGATTAACGCTCTCTTTTTATATCATCACGCCAAGATATTTGCATTTGTTCGTTAAATATTTTCAACTCGTGTAACGTGTCAAAGGATTTTTATTTATTAGAAACAAACTGTATTTGTAATTCAATTTCCGCATATCGGACTGCTATGTTCGATCGATCGTGAAGTTGATTCGGAAGTACTCTTTGGGGCAAAACGCGGAAGCAAACATCACCGAGAGATAGGACTGGCTGACGGCGAAAATCAAGCAGGAATAAAAAGAAAAATAATTCTACGCTGTCGTAGCCTTCCGTCGTTGCCTTTACTCGTTTTTCACATTCGACATGATTTCGACATTTCCCTCGCGTTTCCTTTATTTCTCCTTTTTACCTCGTGCGAGATAGCTTCGCTCGATTGAACGATTATACTTGCGTTATATCTACTCGCAAATCTCACTCGTCGCTCCGGATTGCATTCTCTTTGCTACCGTCGGAAATAAGAACAACAATAACGGACCGGATCTCCACGTAAGACGAAGCACGCGAAGCACTTCAGGAAAGAAACGCGTTTTATCATGGACGAGAGAGAGGGGGGGGGAGAGAGAGAGAGAGAGAGAAAGCAACGCGGGTGGATACCGAACACCATGCATAATAGATACGTTAAAATGCGTGGAGCTTCCGAATAAATGCGGCGAACACCGAGATATGAAGGATCGCGGATTTCCTCACATGAATATTAGACGCTTGTCAGATGACGTACTTTCAGCCTCATCACTTGGAAATTTTATGACGGAGGTATTAGACGCTGGTATCTCGGGGGGCAAAGTTTCGCGCGATGTAAAGGGATGCTGCCGTGTGAAAATGAACGTTCCTCGCCGTGCGAACTATGCGCGAAATTTATAAATTGCGAGGACTTTTTTTTCACACAGCGCAAAGACGGATTCGGAATTGAGATGGCTCCCTAAGAGAAAGAGAGAAAGAAAGAGAGCGGCACGTTGATGTCGTCATTCTTTGAA